CGTCCCCGCTCTTTGGCCTCATGTGGGCCCCGGTGCCTCAGCCGCTATTGGCAGTGCCTCGGCCCGCGCTGCCCCAGTATTCCAGACAACGTTTGCTGTGGTTGGGCCTGGTATCCCAGCCCCTGTAGCCGGTCCTCGGCCTGCGGTGCAGCTCCTCCTGGGGTGGCTCTGGCAGGGGCTCTGCTCAGCTGCCCGGCATAGGAGAACACTGTCTGTGGGAGTTTCTTGTTTGTGCTTTAATGTAACCTGTTGCTATGAAGGAAACTGGGATGTGTATTTAGTACTCTGCTTCAATATGGTGTAGGGAGCTCCTGTACAGAACTAATGTAGTGTATTCTTGTTAAACAGCAAGCTTTAAGATAAGACCCTGTACAGTTACCCCAAAGCAAGTGGTGGTCTGGTAATCCGTACTCTGACTTTATAAGCAGTAGTGGTGTAGGCCTGCCCTGATTTTGGGTTTGCTACCAATGTTTATGAGCACCTGTACGTGCATTCATTCCCCTGATGATTTTCCTTACCCACATTTGTTTGTTTTGCAGACAATCCTAGGAGAAACTCATGAAGAGGAGGATGAGATCCTTCCACGCAAAGACTATGAGGTGGGACATTAACTGTTATCAGTTATTGAAGTTAACATGGAAAGAATTGCAGACAGGTTTTGATCCACTTGAGTTTGTAACAGAGGAGATACTCAAAATGCATCACTAGTTAGATTGCATTGGCATCAGCAGAAATACCAAGAGTTGCTGTTCTTGCAAAGAACTGCTCCTCATCATACATTGGGTTAAAGCCCTGCAAGTAGGGCTTGAATATCCACTGCTCAAGTCAGACTCCTGTTGAGAAAATTCATTTTCTGAGTGTGCTGCACTGTTCCACTTTTTAAATGTGAGATTTGTAGGCTTTAGTGGTCTTGTTTCCTCATGTCTGTAGAAAGCATCTGTAGTTACTTGGTCACTGTTGCCTTACTGCCATCTCTGATGTCATGCTGGCTCACAGCAGATCTTCCCTTATATCAGATCCTGCTTCTTACAGGAGAAGTTTGCTTTTTGCGTGTCTGTACAGTGGTGCTGAGCTATTTAAAGCAGTTGTTGTCAGCATGGGTGTCATCAGCTTAGCCTGTTTCTGCTTGGCTTGAAAAAGTGAAGTTGATGTAGATAGAAGGTAGTGGTACTTTGTGAGTACGACTGGGCAACTCTATACTGCTTTTAACTCCCTAGTGTTCCTGTTGTAGTGAGAGGTTAAATGTAAAGAGCTAATGTAATCCCCTGCACTGTCAAATTGGAGGTGCTTAAAGAAGTAAAGTCTAACTCTCTATAATGTGACTTCTTTAAATTAAAGTTGTATTAGTCAGTTGTGTTCCTGTTTGGTTCCCTGTCTGGAATGGTGAAATTGGTCTGGTCTTTCACTTCCTGATTTTCAGGGTCTGGCTCTGCTGGAAATATTTAAATGAAGTTGTTTACAGGAGTTATTTGTCCTACCGTTGCTTGCAAAACCTACTGTGGGGGTAGTAATGACTTCTGTAATCTTTAACAAGGTCTTCTAACTATAGTTTTTTGCACAATCTCTTGCAGCTGGTTCTCTTAAATTGACTTTTTGGCATTCTTTCAGAGCTTGGATTATGATCGTTGTATCAATGACCCATACTTGGAAGTTTTGGAGAGCATGGACAACAAGGTAGGACCTTGTTCTTTCTTTTTCGTTAGCTTGAGAGCCAAAACTGTGGAAATTGCCCAGAGAAATTTGCTCAGAGAAGTTGTGGGTGCCCCATCCCTGGAGGTGTTCGAGGCCAGGTTGGATGGGGCTTTGAGCAACCCGATCTAGTGAAAGATGTCCCTGCCCATGGCAGAGGAGTTGGAACTAAATGACCTTTAAAGATCCCTTCCAACCCAAACCATTCTATGATTCTAAATAATCTCGACTGCAGGAAGTTTTGTGGGTTTTTTCTTTATGAAAGAAACTCTATGTACTCTCTTGGTTTCTCTATGAAAAGAATAAAAATACGTATGAAGATAATAGTTCTCGGCATCTGTTCTGATCCTTTGGTTTAAAGTGAGTGAGATATTCAGCACTTTCAGTTCCTTGTTTTCAGTTTGTTGTTGTCACCGTCTTCTGTGGATTTACCACTCTAGCTGTAACTGAGCTGTGGAGCCCAAAACCTCCTTTTTCTGATCCCCATTTCTATGTTGCTTTGACTTGGCTTTTTTTTTTTTTTTGTATCCTCTTCCTGAACAGAAAGCCCAGAGATACGAAGCAGTGAAGTGGGTGATGGTTTTTGCTATTGGAGTCTGCACAGGACTGGTAAGGGTCATGCTGTTTGGGGAATTAGGAAAACTCAGGAGACCAAGCAGGAATAATTTAAAAGTCAGTGGCCAAGGAGGAAATGTTCTCCTTCGTGAAGTGGAGAGCTTACTAGCTGAAGTTGTTTTTTGGGAAGCACGGCTGTTGCTAGATTATTTCCCAGGAAGCCTTTTTTTTTTTTTTGTTTCAGATCTTGCTGTGCTTTCTTTGCAAAGTATTCTGGCAAATCCTTTAATTTTGCATACAGGAGTACTGGTCCAAAGTGAGCACTTAATAAAAAAGGATGCCAATTTACAGTTGAACTGTATTTTATGTTTGGCATTACTAGCTTCACTGCATGTGCTTTCTAGAGTGTTTGAAATTAGCTTTGCTGACTGCGTGCCTCAGTTAAACACCAGCTTTCTTCTTTGCACTGAAGTATGTTGTGGGTGTTAAAAATGCTACCAGATTAGTACTCTGAAATGCGTCTCTTCAGGAATAATTCTAGGATGAATCTGTCCCAGTGAGAACGAGGGAGGCAGCAAATCTGAGCTTCTGAAGTTACTTTACTCTGAACAATGCTTCTTTTGCCTTCTTCATCAGAAGAAGTCTTCCCATATGTGCATACTTCTGGTAGGACATACTAGAGGGTAGTCTTTGTTACTTGTATGTGGTAATTTCTGATGGCACATCTGTCTTCTTTTTCACAGGTGGGTCTCTTTGTGGATTTCTTTGTACGACTCTTTACCCAGCTCAAGTTCCAGGTGGTACAAAGCTGTATCTTTTACCTAGTGTATGGGTTTCTGTTTGATTCATGTGACCTTTTTCTTTCTGTTGCCATGTATTGCTCAGAACAGCTGATTCTCAGACTGCTGCCATGTTGTTGATGATTAATGAAGTTTTCAACTTGCCTGTGTAATTCAGCCCTTGAAATAAAAAAATGGTTCGAGTATCATGTACGTATGTGAAGGCTAATCACTGAAAGAATAAATGTTTCCCCTTCCTTGTAGCTCAATCTTGAGCTCTGAAAAGGAAGCCTGACTTCCTGATGGGTTGTGTCAGCTGCCCTGGCTGGATTAGGAAGTGCAGGCTTGGCTCCTGATGCCAGTAGGGGACCCCCACACAGTACTGAATGATTGTGTGTTGGTGGGGGTAATGTTGTTGTTGTTTTCCTTGACTGTCCCTGCAGCAGTGGAAGAATGCACTGAGAAAGGCTGTCTTGCCGTGTCCTTGCTGGAGCTGCTAGGGTTCAACCTGACCTTTGTTTTTCTTGCCAGTCTTCTGGTCCTGATCCAAGTAAGACTTAGGTCCACTGCTTCTCCTCACACAGCCTCCCTTTGCTCTCACACAGGTCCTGGGTAAGAAGCTTCCTTCTTGCTGGAGGCACTTTCTGCCCCAAGACATTAAACTAGCTTCACAGTGCTAATTGATTTAGCTAAGCAGGATCTCTTGGTTGCTTGCTGTGCTCTCTGATGAGATATTGTTGGTCAGCTATGAAATTGATGCAGCACAGCATCAGTGTTTCTTTTCTGCAGCCTGTAGCAGCTGGATCAGGAATTCCTGAAATTAAGTGCTACCTCAATGGGGTAAAGGTTCCAGGTGTTGTGCGTCTCCGGACGGTGGTGTGCAAAGCCATGGGAGTGCTCTTCAGTGTGGCAGGAGGTAAGAAGAGCTGTGGTGTCTCAATCTTGTTGGGGTAAGGAATCACTGAAGGGGGCGGGAAATGCTGTCCCTGCTGTACATAGGGCACAAAAAGCTTCTCCTGCCTTTCCAGTAAAATGATTTTGATGGGCTGGAGCAGTGATGAGCCCTGAATGTATATATAGAGTAGAAATAAACAGAAGGATCAGGACTATTGGGGAAACAAGTACCTTTCTGGGTAGGCTGGTTAGAAGTGTCTCTTTGTGGCTCAGTCCAAGAGGGAGACGTGAGAATTCTCCAGAACACATTGTCTAGAGCAGCCTGAAGGAGGCTATGTTCTAGGCAGCAGGGCAGAGTAACCCAGAGAGTTCAGAGTCCTTTTAACAGCTGTCTTTGAATGGTTCCGCCCACTTGGATTGCAGTCTGTGCAAGTCTTCACAAATATTTCGGGTGTTGAGTGGGCAGGGGTCAGCACCTTCCTTCACCTTGAGGGAAGAGCTGCAGGCTTCACACAGGGGACTGTGCCATGGCATGGGAGTGGTGAGCTGATCTCTCCTGGCATTGACATCAAGGGAGAGAGCTGGGGGAGTGTGTGTCTCATCAGTCCTGTTTTTTCAGGCCTTTTTGTCGGGAAGGAGGGTCCAATGATTCACAGTGGTGCTGTCGTGGGTGCAGGTTTGCCACAGGTTAGTGCTGGCCTGGGTCACTGGCCCGGTCACATTGCTGCTTTGTTAAGAGTACTGTGAGGAGTAAGTTACTGTCTCCTACGTTTCTAAATCTATTTTGTTTGTAGTTCCAGAGCATCTCTTTGAGGAAGATCCAATTTAACTTTCCCTATTTCCGCAGTGACAGGTACTGTACCCAGGATGTGGAGGAGGGGAGAGGAGGATGAGTGAGCCGACTTCCTTGGGAGAAGGGTGTTGGGCTGGGATGAGTCAGTTGGTCAGTTTTTCGTTTTCTCTCTAGTATTGTACAGTTTCATTCTGCAGCAAGACAACACCAGGACTTGTCTCTTCCATGCTGCTCTACTCTGGTCTCCATGTTCACTGATGTTCTCTTGTACTACTCAGCAAATCTCTACCCATTTAAAACCTTTAATCTGAATGGGTAAATGGCTTCATTGTTGGGAACAAGCTCAGTTATTCACCACTTATGACAAGGATATACTACAGAGAAGGCTGGTTCATCTGAATGTGAACAAAATCTTGCCCTTCCCTCTCTGTAATTCTTTCAAGTGATGCTGGAGCCCCACAGTGTGGGGTGGTTCCTCATACACTGGCCAGCACTTCTCCCAGCTGTCACTCCTCTATCCCTGGGATATATCCATAGATGGGAATGGTCTCTTCCTTTGCAGAACCTAAGCACCTCCAGAGCTCTACTTTGCTGAACTGAGATTGTTTTCCTCTTCATTTCAGGGATAAAAGGGATTTTGTATCTGCTGGAGCTGCTGCAGGGGTTGCGGCTGCCTTTGGAGCCCCAATTGGGGGCACTCTTTTCAGCTTGGAAGAAGGTTCCTCCTTCTGGAACCAGGGACTTACATGGAAAGTGGTGAGTAATGACTCTGGCTCTTTCTGTGTGTCTCTTCCATGAGCAGGACGTTTGGGAGGGCTTGTCTGTGAGGGCGTTCAGATTATCCTGTCTCCTCCTGAGCTTTCCTGCCAGGAGGGAGATTGTCTGCTCTGAGTGCTCCAGAATTACTACAAATCAAGAGCAGAGATGAGTCTGGTACTATCCGGAACTATGGGCCAACTCAGGCAGCAGAATTAGTGTACCTGGGAGAAAGGGCTTTTGTGCCTGGGCTCTTTGCAGCCCAATCCTTTGGGAGCAGACAGAGTAGGGAGGAGCTAGATTTCTTTCTGCCTTAGGGAGCTGTATTGCAGCAATGCCATGTGCCTTCAGGTTGCTGATTTCTCTGCCTATAGTGCCTACTTTCATGAAGTAGACAGTATTTTAAAAATTTATTGGATTTCTTTTTTTTTTCATTTTTTATGCCAAATGCATAAAAAATGGGATGGGATTGAGTTAGTCTGCTCTTTCTCAGTGGGGATAAAAGGAGCCAGGGGATTTGCCAAGATAGCAACTATCTCGGAGCCAGTTAAGACCTCAATTTCATCTCTAAACAAGCTGCGTTAGTGTCTTGTAATTGACTTACAACTGCAAATTAGCATATCTAACAGAAAAAAAAAAAAGAGCTTTTGCTGCAAGAATTACTAGGTGAAAGTCCTAACTTCTTGTGTCGGAAACCAAATCAGATGAGTATAGTAGTCCATTCGAGTCCTGCTCTCTTTTGCAGCAGGGAATGGGTGTTAAACCTCAGTAGAACTGTTTTCCTAAAGCTTGAGAAGGCTCTGAGATTCCCTTCCCCAGACATAAGTCTCAAGGAAGACCTGGCTCTGCCAATCTGAATTTGAGGAGTGTTTAATTCTTCCTTCTTTTTACTTCCTCAGCTTTTCTGTTCCATGGCTGCCACCTTCACCCTGAATTTTTTCCGCTCTGGGATTCAGTTTGGAAGTTGGGGGTCTTTCCAGCTCCCTGGGCTGCTGAACTTTGGGGAGTTCAAGGTAAGTTTTAGTGCTGTTATTTCCCCAGCTGCCCCAGTCTCTTGTCAGTTCAGTGTTTCCTTCTGTTTTTTCAATACATGCTTGTATTTCAGTGAAGGGGCGTCGATATTTAGCTGCAATACATTGATAGCTTAAGACAGAATTCTTCCCCTTTGGTCATAGCTGCTGAAGGTCTGCTGTGGGGACAGAAGCGTTGGTAGGAATTTGCAGCAACTATCCTGATGCTTTTTTTTCTTTTAATGCTTTTCTGCACATAGTGCTCTGAGTCTGATAAGAAATGCCACCTCTGGACAGCTGTGGACTTGGGCTTCTTCATTCTGATGGGGATTGTAGGAGGCCTTCTTGGAGCCACCTTCAACTGCCTGAACAAGAGACTTGCAAAGTACCGCATGCGGAACGTGCATCCCAAGCCAAAGCTTGTCAGGTATTTGTTCTCTTTTGAGTTTTTGCAGGGATCTCTTGTCTGTGTTTAGTGTCCCAAAGCAAAAGCATCAATCTGGAAGACCCAGTGAGAGGTATTGGAGGAAATCCCAGGCCTGTTATTTTTGAAATCACAAAAAAAAGCTTCCATAGAACTTAGAAGTGAACACCAGAAATCAGATGTTACAGTCCCTCTGCATTTTTGTAATTACACTGGTGGTACAGGGAGCGCTGCAGCCCCCCTTACAGGGGCTGTGAAGGGAGCTCTTTATAATAAAGGCTATAGCTGAACAAACCAGAGCTTTGTCTCTGTGCAGTATTTTTTTTATGTCTTGTCAAAACAGATGTGGAAGGAATAGCTGATCCCACTCTTTTTCTTTTTCTTTTTTTTTTTTTAAATTGTCTTAGTTAATGAAATACATAAGTGAGCTAATAGCTGTGCTATTTATAGAGGGGAATTGCCATGTAATTCTGGAAAATAGCTGTTTGTTTGCTCAAGACAATTCCTAAATAAGAAGTCCTGGTTTAAAAAAAAAAAAAAGTGTATTTCAGCAGTTACAAAAGAGATATGAGAGACTCTGCATCAACCTGTCCCATCCTGTCCAGACTTTTACCCTATAAGGATCTACAGAACATTCTTTCCATGTGAACAGCCTCATCACTGAACCCTTCCCCATAGCTTTTTATCGTGACTGTTTTGTGTTCTGTGGGCAGAAATAGCTCCTCTTTGGGGCAGGCAATTAAAAAGGGGAGTTAACGCAATCCCTGGCAACCAAGTCATAATTCAACTTGACTTGCAGGGTCCCCTGCTTCTGATGTTAAGCTGTGGTGACTGCTTGTTCAAACCTTATCAAACTTGTGTGCAGAGCTGAGACTGGGTTACAGGGCTGAGTGTGGCTTCAGTGTATGGTTTCTGTTGTGTACTTGCAGAGTCTTGGAGAGCCTGCTGGTGTCGTTGACTACCACGGTCGTGGTCTTTGTAGCCTCCATGGTTCTGGGGGAATGCCGGCAGATGTCTTCCACCAGTCATAGTGGCAATGACACTCTGAGCCTGCAGGTGAGAAATCTTACATGAAGATTTTTCGTTCCCATCATATTATTTGCCCTCCAGAGAAGCACAGGCACATAATGAGCTTTTGACGGCATGTAGTACATAACGGAACTTCAGTGAAAGCCTACATACAGTTGCAGGAGCTTAGGGTAATAATGAAAGCTGCCCTTTGTGCTTTTGTACTTTGGCAAAGCAGCTCAAGCTGTGAATCAGGGAGCCCATTGATGTTGCAGGCCCCATCTCTGCTATTGTTGTTTGGTCTGAACTTCCAAAAATGTGGGCTGACAGCCCTATACAGGGGAGTTACTCCCATTCTGCACTAAGGCTAACGTAGGAGAGAGTGGATTTTAACTGTTTGTGTCTTTTGTCTCCTGCATTAGGGTATGTCAGAGGATGTGAATTCAAGCATCAAAACTTTTTTCTGCCCAAATGAAACCTACAACGATATGGCCACTCTATTCTTCAACCCTCAGGAGTCGGCTATCTTGCAGCTCTTCCACCAGGATGGTGAGTAGCTGGGAGACAGTGCCCCATCCCATGCTTAGGCTTCAGAGCTTCACCTTGCTTGAAACAGCCTTGTCCTAAGAAGCACAAGGCTAAGAGCATCTTCAGACCTTCATGGCTCTGGGGGACTACTAGTACAATAGGTGAAAGCCTCCTCCATGGCAAGAAAGGCCTGCTTTCCCTCTCTTTTTCACTTATTCATTGTCTTCATGTGTGTTTGGACTGGGACACTAAGGAGCTGTTGTGAGATGAGCTGGCTGTGAGTGGAGGGGTGGATGGCGCAAGACTACAGGCTTTGTCCAACAGACCTGTGCACCTTTAGTCATGATTCTTCTTGTGTTGCAGGTACTTTCAGCCCAGTCACACTGTCCTTGTTCTTCCTTCTCTATTTCTTACTCTCCTGCTGGACATACGGGATCTCTGTGCCCAGTGGTCTTTTTGTACCATCACTGCTTTGTGGGGCTGCCTTCGGACGCCTGGTCGCCAACCTCCTCAAAAGGTGCATTGAGTGTGCGTATGTGTGCGAGAGATGTGCTGCAGACGGATGATGAGCTCTCAGTCAGGTTATTCTAATCTCCGGGCTCTGTATTTTTTCCTAGCTACATTGGCCTGGATCACATCTACTCAGGAACCTTTGCACTGATTGGGGCAGCAGCATTCCTGGGAGGAGTGGTCCGCATGACAATTAGCCTGACTGTCATCCTAATTGAATCCACCAATGAGATCACCTATGGGCTCCCAATAATGATCACCCTCATGGTGAGTGCAGGGTCTCAGCTCAGGCTTCTTGCAGTCTGCTTGAACATGTGCTGGACCTGAATCTCTGTTCCTTCCAGGGCTATGATAAGCCAAGGAGTCTTGTACTTGGAGCAACAACTCAGTAGACCTTCTGTTTGCTCTGCAGGTAGCCAAATGGACAGGAGACTTTTTCAACAAAGGCATCTATGACATCCATGTGAACTTGCGAGGAGTGCCTCTTCTGGAGTGGGAAACAGAGGTGGAAATGGATAAGTAAGGCTGCTCTTCTTGGCAGGGCTGTGGGTTAGAGACTGTGGTGGGGTTCTTGCTCGGAAAGGAATGCAGTATTGTGGGGGAATGATGCTTCATCTCCAACGAATCTGGCTGCTCTGAGGAGCAGCTGTGAGGAGGACTGCTGTGGGAGGAATTGGGAATTGTGCATCAGGCCTGCAGCAGGAAAGAGGTGCTGGAGCCCTTTCTGAGGAGGGGTGGATGGGTGGAGATCTGAGGAGCAGATTTATGAGGTTCATCAAGAACTCTGTGAAAATGTTCCACTGGACTTTGCTGCTTGCAGAATTTCATCTTCTTCCCACCTGTCGTCTTTTCCCAGTAGTGTTTAAACACTTTCTGTGTTATAAGTTGGAATCTTTTTCCTTGCCTATAGTGCATAATTTACGCAATGTTATGTTTAAAAAAAAAAAATTAAAGAATAAATTGTGCCAGCACTACTAATAACTCAGTGAAGGTGAGCACACAGTTACAAGGAACTGGCAGAGTAAACTGCAGCAGGCTCCTTCTCAGGATCTTGTTTTGGGACTGGTTTGTTTCCTTGTTTGTCCATCGTTGGGCTTCTGTTGCTGACATATGATGCATGCAGCAATCTTGGATTTCTCTTTCCTCAGACTACGAGCCAGCGACATCATGGAACCCAACCTGACATATGTCTACCCACACACCAGGATCCAGTCCCTTGTTAGCATCCTGCGCACCACTGTCCATCATGCCTTCCCTGTAGTGACTGAGAACCGGGGCAACGAGAGGGAGTTCATGAAGGGAAATCAGCTGATAAGTAACAACATCAAATTCAAGGTAAGAAGTTGCTTGTTTGATAAGTTGAAGGGTAAAGAGCTTTGTTTTGCAAGTGGAAGGCCCTTTATTTTGTTACTTAGGCTTTTGTCAGTGCAGAATCCAGGTCAGAGATAAGCAGCTACTACAATACAAAATTGCATTCCATTCTCTGACTTATGGTAGGAAGAGCAGGCTGCATTCCTAGAGGCAAAAGTTAAGAGGACTAAGTAACCTGTTTAGGATAGACACAGAAAAAGTTTGGATTTGTCACTGAAGTACTGAACCCACCATTGAGTTCAGTAATAGGTGCCTAAATTCTTCTCTCCTTTGTAGGAGGGGTATTGGGGCAGATACTTTGGTCTCTTGGGAAACTTAAAATTAAGGTCGGAATGAGTAATGAATGTGCTTGTGGCATACTCAGGCTCTAGCAAAAAAGGGTACCTGAGTTCCTAAACTCTAGGTTCTCTGTCCAAGGAGAGTACAGTCCTGTTGGCTGTTCTTACAAGTACTGCAGCAACGCTGGCTAAGGAACACTTTATCTGGTGACTATGATCAAGTAGTTCATAGTTGCTCCTGGGTAACTGTTGACCAGCTTAGTAGATATCTGAAAATTATTTGTTGTATCTAGAAATCTAGCATCCTCACCCGAGCTGGAGAGCAGCGCAAGCGTAGCCAGTCCATGAAATCCTACCCTTCAAGTGAACTGCGTAACATGTGTGATGAGCACATAGCAACGGAGGAGCCACCAGAAAAGGAGGATCTGTTGCAACAGATGCTAGAGAGAAGGTGAGTTCCTGGTAGGCACAAACGTATGGAAATAGGGTGTTTCCATACTTTGAGATGTGTTGTGATGCTTCGTACAGTCCCTGTCATTCCATGTGTCAGAGGAAACAGTGCTACTATCCATGTTTTAGAAGTGACTTGTCAGGTCTCATCAGCCGGGGCTCACACCTGTGACTGAGTTCCTAGGCTAATGGCTTGATGGCATCCAACCTGTTAATTTAAATTTCCTTCAAACACCTATCCAGAAGTATTTCCGGGAGAGGATAGAATACCTGGGGAAATACCTCTTCTGTAGAAATTGATGCCCTCTGATCTGCAAAAACCTGAGGGCTCTGCAAAGCTCACTTCTTCCAAGAGAGGAGCTAATGACTTGGTGCCATAATACTGATACCACCTTTCTGGTAACTGGGCTGAGTCACCAAGTTTGTATTGCAGTTGCTTCCAAGCAGAAGCCCAGTCTAGTGGATCAGTTTCTAGCCTCATGATTGTCACTTCTATGAGTGGAGTCCTGGCCCTGATGTTTTGCCAGATGCTTCAGCTTTTATTAGAATCTGAATAATTTGGCACTGAAAATTGCTTTAATAGCAAGTGATTTGAAATTGAGGGTTAGGAAACTCTCCGTTCTCTGGTTCTTACACTCTGTCCATGGTAGTGGCTCTTGACCCCTCCCTGCAATTTTGTTTGGTGGAGAACAAGCTTGCCTGTCTCCAGCAAGAGTCCCTGAAATGCTCAGGAGAAGGCTGCAAAGAGCTGAAATAGCTGTTGTTGTTTTGGAGGCGGGGGTTTGTGTCTGTCCTTAAGTTCATGCAACTTATAACATGTTAAATCTGTCACAGATACACTCCCTACCCCAACCTGTACCCTGACCAGTCTCCCAGTGAAGAGTGGACCATGGAGGAACGCTTCAGACCTTTGACCTTCCATGGCTTGATCTTGCGCTCACAGCTTGTCACCCTCCTTGTCAGGGGTGTTTGTTACTCTGAGAGCCAGTCGGTGAGTCTCTTTCTAATCAGGAATTGTAGCAGAGGCATCCCTACCCTCTTGGCTGAGAAGGTTGGGAACAATATTTATGGGCTGCCAAAAAGAATCTACCCGTTTTTACAAGGAATGCATCTGTGTTTTAAAAGCTGTGGATGGATAACGTGAATTCTCCTTTGCAGCTCTAGAATAAGGAGAATTTAATTTCTGTTTAAGCACCCCCAGTAAAAGAGGACAGCTACTGTTTAAAAATAAAACAATAGACTTATTTGTTGCATAAAGGTGCAATCCTGTCAGAACTGGTGAACAGAGGGCATATATTAAATACAAATAGAGCAACCAGCAGTATATACTGTGTGTTTTTTCCTGCTGCATGTCAAGGGCTTAGCAGGAGAGTGTCAGCTGTATCACTGAGGTCAGTAAGAACATTTGTGTTTGAGGTCCATCTTTCACAAGGCTGATTGGTTGCTGTCCTCCACTGTTGAGCGTAGACCTCTCAGAGGCTGGAGAGCAGATCTGTTGCGCTCTCAGCTAAATGCCTGCATAGGTTTGGGAGTGCGCTGCTGCATTCTGAGGTGAGCTGCTAGGAGTACCTCTGCACAAGTTGTGTGTGCAGGCATGGGAGGAGAAGGAGGTCTGGGTGAGTGACTGGGAGGCACTGTTTGCTGTGCTGCTTGCAGCCCATATACTATCTGGGATGGTGACACATCGATTCAGTGGGATTTGTTCTAATTGCAGAGTGCAAGTCAGCCTCGTCTGTCCCATGCAGAGATGTCAGAGGATTACCCCCGCTATCCAGATATTCATGACCTGGACCTCACGTTGCTGAACCCTCGCATGATAGTGGTAAGAGATGCACTGCAGTATGACAGTGTTTTCTGATACATGTTTAGGACTGCCCCAAAACTTTAAAAAAAGCTGAGAGCACGTTTAAGTCTACCCTGGGGTGCAGTGACTAACATCCTGTACTTCTCATGTATTCAGTCAGCCTTGTCTGCATGTGGAACAATCCTCATACCTGCTATGAAGTAACATCACATACAGGTGCTTTATGTTCAGAATAAGACGCTGCCTGTCTAGTTCAGTTTATGTTCGGAATAAGACGCTTCCTTCTAGATTAGACTCCTGCCTGAGAGATCAGACAGGCAAGCTGCTGATACCTATTTGGAACTCTGTGTGCTGGCAAGCTCAGTCAGTGGCAGGCATGTCACTGTCTTTGTGACAGAAAGGTTGCTGTGTAGGCCAAATTAATTAATTTAATATACATTCTTATTTTCATGGACCTGCATTTATCCTGCTCAGAGGCTTTCTGCAGCGTTGGGCTCTTAAGATCATGGGTTGCAGGGTTCAAACAAAATGTGACAAATTCAGATTCCTGAAATAACTTCATATTTGTGGAGAAATAGATGGTGCCCACAGTCCAGTACCCTGTCCAGAGATCAGTGGATTAGAGAATTTGTAGGAATTTCTTGTTAGTGATTTGCAAAGATAGTGAAAATGCCTCTTGTAAATAATATAAATGTTTTTCTTTCTTAGGATGTCACCCCATACATGAACCCATCACCCTTTGCTGTCTCTCCAAACACTCATGTGTCACAAGTCTTCAACCTGTTCAGGACAATGGGACTCAGGCATTTACCAGTTGTGAACGCAGTTGGAGAGGTGAGTCCTTATCTCCATTTTGTCTTGGCTGAGCAAGGATGCCACTGTGTTTTTTGCAATGCTTTCCAACTTTGGGAGAATTAAGATCTCTTTTAACATGAAACGGAAATGCTTAAAAAGATTAGAATGTGATCTTCTTTAAGGCCCTGAAGCATTCTTGATTACTGTGACTTTGTTACCATCTTTTGTGTCCAAGCCTGCTTCCCGCTTTCCGTGCAAAGGGCAGGACATGCAGTCTCTCTCCTGTCTCAGGTTGGCAGCATGTGGAAGCTCGTACTGTCTTGTACCTGTTGAGAGACCTTGAGCTCATCAGAGGCTGCTAATTTGGCTTCCTTTTTGACAGCTTTATTCAAGGCCAAGAGCAGAATTTCCTGTGTGTTGGGGCAGGAAGTTTTTCAGCTGAAAGGGAATTTGCATTCTGTTCCTAGTGATAGGAGCAGCAAAATAAAGGAGTCTTTGAATGGTTTGTTCTTGATTCACTGTACTTGTCTCTTTGCCATCTACAATGCTCAGGAATAGTCAGTAGGTGTCAGTAACTTCCTACAAATATAGTGAGAAACTGTTTCCGTTAAGCCTGAACTGGTCTGTCCCTATGAGACAGCAGTGCTTTTTCTGCCTCTTACTAATAGCTACTCTGTAGAGCCTGTTGGTTGAAAACAAGAGATTCTGCCTCGTGCCATGTTTAGTTCAGGATGCTCTTGCAGTACGAGAGAGCAGCCTAGTTCTAAACTCTTTTGATGTGTAAAATCACTGAGGTGTTTCATCAGCTGAAACATGTGGTTTGACTGTTTCCCCAGCAGGCTGGGAGAGAGTCCTTTTTGTTACCTGCCAGCTAATGATGGCCGGTGTGCAGTCCCCACTTAGCTAGTCTTTACCGTTTCTCTGTTTTGGTCTTTAGAGCTTCCTAGAATGTATCTGATACCAGCTATCTGCAGTCATGTCATGTAGCATACCAGAAATGTCTCAGCTTTCTTACTTCCAGTTGTAGTTTTCATTTTCCAAAGGATTTAGTTACATCTGTATGCTGTGTAACGTGGGCAGGATTTCCCTTCATTGGCAGGGGTAATTACTGCTGTGTCCAGACGTGATAGCAGCAGTTAACCTGTCTGTTTGGGTGTAGTTAAAGCAGTGTCTTGCCTGTAGATAAGTGCTGGGAGAGGGAGGGGGGTTGTTTTGGCAAGATTTGAACTTGACCCCACTCTAACTCACCATTGGTTAAGAACTGCTTGCAGATTCCCTCTTTGTTGGGGGTTGGAAGGAACAGCTCTACCATGCACGTCTCTTAGTGGCACATCTGTGATATTGACTTGTATGTTTTTTCCTCTTTTCTTCTTCTTCTTTAAGATTGTTGGGATAATCACTCGGCACAACCTGACCCACGAATTTCTGCAGGCAAGACTGAGACAACACTATCAGACCATTTGATGCCCTTGCCCACCCTGCCCCACTGTCGGTGTGGCTACCTCCCTCTTCCAAGCCTGCACACGCGCTCGCATTCTGCTTGGACCCCACAAGGCCCAAGACGTGCCATTTGGCTTCTCACATGCATATCAAGCCTGGGGAGCTGGAAAACATCTTGCTAGCCAGAGAATTAGAGGAGCAGCCTGAGCCCAGAGCTGTTGATTGATCTCAGGCACTTGGTTTGACCACTCTTGATCCAGGTTTTTTCTTTTCCTGTGCCCCGGTTATCTCCTTTCATCAGATGTTGTCCTGACACTGTATGTTCTGCTATTTTTTTTTGTTTTGTTTTTTTTTTAATGGTTGGAAAAAAGAACCATCTAGCTCCACTGTGTCCTGTGCAGAGAACTGCAGCATCTTTTCCCTGTCCTCCTGTATGTCTCCCCTTTCCTCTTCCTCCCTTGTTCCTGCAACTGTTGCCTTATTTGTGTGAGAAGGGAGTCACTGTCAAGGCTGAGAGGAAATACTGCAGTTATCAAATAGCTGCTCTGGAGGATGGCTTTTCTCAAAAGCAGCGTTAAAATATCCAATTCTTTGGAAATAGACCTCTCTTTGTGAGTACTCCCATTTGCCCATGTTTTTCTACTCTGGCTTCATGTGTTCCTAATTTCTCCTCTTCTTTCATGGGGAAACATCCCTGCTGTGATGTTTTTGACAGCAGCTGACTTTTGAGAGCAGCTCAGCAAATCAGGAGTTCAAAACAGTTCAATTCCAGTTACTGTTTGGGATTATAAATATTTAATACATTTGCAAAGCATCTCAGAGAAGGGGGATCTCTTTTCCCTCTTAACTGTTCCTATTATCTCCCTGTAAGAGACTCTTCTAAGGCACTTTGTGGCACTCCACTTTGTCACTACCCTGACACTCTTGCATTTCTTGGCATTTGTAGGCACTTTGTCCTGGAACAGTGAGAACCAGGGACACATTTCCAGCTAGGGTTAGAGACTAGGGAGCCCCATGTTCAGAGCATGGTGAAGTGTTGCTTTCTGGAGGCAAATAGAACTGATGCCCTGTCTCAGGGCTTGGTTGAACTATCTCTGTGTTGTGAGAGGAGTAGGTGTAACTTCAGGCTGCCATACAGGAGGGATATGTGGTGCTAGTGACTGACAGACAGGATCTGCTGCAGGGTGATAAGTGGGGCTGGCTGTGCTCTAAAAATGTTTGGGATAATGTTTGCAACTGCAATAGCCGGATATCTGTAAGGGTAAAATCAGCACTTAGAAGCCAGTTGCAGCCAGTTCACTGCTTTAGCAGGTACCATCCTGGCCAGCACCTGTATTGTTCCAGCAGGCACCTGCCCTCCTGAGTTTTGCATACAGATAACCCTCAGTGGGAAGCCAGCATTGTGCCTCCAGGGGCTGCAGAGCTGATTGGCTTGATAAAGCACAGAGCATTCTCTCAGCCAAGAGGCTGGGCCAAGTAGCATGGGGAATGTATCCCAGAAGAGCTTCTGCACAGCCTCTGAGAGCTCCGATTAACCTGTTGTCTGCCATAAGGAACTAGCTAGATGAGAGTTGTGGCAGAAGGAAATCAGACATTATGGTATTTTCTGAATTTAGGAAGTCATCTATGCTGAAGATTTTCCTGACTAAGCCTGAAGAAGTTCTGCCCTTTCCTTACACGTGTCAAAACACTAACTCTGTTAAAGCAGCCTCTTTGACTGACTTTGTGGAAGCTGACTGGTCCAGGGCACTGCTCTGCAAACTGCTGGCTGCTGAGCCCTGCTACACTTAGGGTTAGGGGAAGGGTTTGTGCCCAGGGCACCAGCCATGGTCTTGATGTAGGGCTCTTTAAGTCGCTGGAACTCACAGACTGTCTTGGCAGTCCAGATAGGTGGTGGTCAGATGTATTCTCTGGCTGTGCTTGCAATAAAGACAGCTGAATCATGGGAGGCTCTTGATTTTTTTTGAGAGAAAACTTGGTCTTACAAGTGGTTCCTGAGGCCAAGTTTTAGGGTAGAGCTGGTCCTTGTCATACAATGCATGGCATGGCTCAGCTGGAAAGCTTGGTTTTAGCAAAGCTGTTTGTAAGCGCTTAGATATTTTATTTTTTTTTTAATTTTTATTCCCCTTTATTGACATGTGGAGGCCTTTTTTATTCCCACCTGCTGCCTTATTAACAGAGGAAGGGCAGATCTTTGTTTTCAAGAATGGATTTATACCATTTCCACAAAGGAGAGTGGGCTGTAGTGCGTGCAATGGCAGTTGTTGCAAAGGAAGATGTGTGTGTCCCAGAACCTTTTGTTAACCGTGGCTGCTCTCCAGGGCTGCTTGGGAAGTGACCTATCTAAAGGACAGGGAATAATGTTCATTCTTTCTCCTTTCTTACTGTGGAACTGTCAGCAACAGCTCTTGTCTCCTCCACTAAAATAGCTTTTCTGGTTTCTGAATATCCTAGCTCCATTTCAGATAAGGTATGCAAGCTCTTAAACCTCCAAGAGTAAAACAAAAGTGTTTTCCAACAGCCAGTATCAATCTTGTGCCTTCAACCTGGACTCTTTAGCTGGGACAGGTGCGGCACATTCCTTAGAGCAGATACATTGTCATTGGCTATCCCTCTTGACTTGCAAGTTGTTTCCCTGTAAGTAGTGTAAGGATGTTCTCTCTGGGTAGTCTTTGCAGATGATTTCCAAAATGCCTGTTTCCTGAGCTCTCGTCTTGCACTGAGCTATCCCAACTTCCAGCACCCTTTTGCACTCCCTGAAGGTGGACTGTAGATCTGAAATATGCTTGTGTTAACCTATCTTTCGTTCAGAGGATTTGTGCTTGTGGGCAGTTTCAAATCGCAGGAATCCTGTTTTGATGGGATTTCAGAGCACTCTAATGTGGAATTAGCAATCCCATACTGTCAGAGCACCTGTCAAGAATGCCCTACGTCTCTCCGTGATAAGTCTTTTTCCTCTTGCTCATGTTGAGTGATTGTGTGTGGAAGGTTCCTTCTCTTCCTGCACATGAATAGGGCTCCTTACATTGTTTGCCTTGAGCTGGTCTTGTCCTGTTTTATTTCTGTACACAAACTGCAGCAGTATATTTTGCTGCAGGATGTCTTGTCATTGCTACTGGGGCCTGGAGTTAGGCAATCCAGACAAGACAGGCTGAAAAATCTTGTCAAGGTTTGTCTGAGCACCAGCTGTGCTTCCCCATGAGAAGGCCACTTGCCTTCAGCCAGCTGTCAGCACTGTCTGCTCTGCCTATGCATCTATCTTATTCAAATGTTTTAGCTGGAAAACACCCCCCTTTGACTCTTTCAGTAAAGAAGTTTTAAATAAGGATGGTGGGTGACCCCGTCAGCTGCTCTAAAGGGAAATCTCTGTGTGCAATCACTGTTATGTAGCTTGCAGAAAGGGAATTACAAGTTCACGTGACGTTTGGGGATGCAGGATTTCCCTTCTGCTAAGGACTGATGCCAAGAAGCTTCTGTTGAATCAGTCTTGTTCTCACACTTTAATCACTTAATTCCTTTCTAACAACACACTAACTGCTTCTACTCTGGCTCTGGCTGCTTGGTGATTTACTGAGAAACTTTCTTCTAACATAGGTGCCTGTAACCTTTTACTCGGAGCAACACTAAAGGAATAGTAACCAAGAACTGGATTAGTATCGATGGCAAAAGTTAGGGGGTAGTATGGGGCATTCTCCCCTGCCTCATGGTTTCCTGTGCAGTGTTAATTATGCAGTTTTGAATTGTTAACTTACTGTGAGCCATTCCAATGGTAGCGACTTACCTTTCCATTTGTTTTTTTGCACTGTTTTTTGTTATGAAATGATGTAAGCTAATTCCACAGTGTATATAAATTGTATTTTTTTTATATTTGTATGAATATATTTTTATTTGAACTATGGCACTTGGGAAGTATTCATGTAACCATAACATGTCTGAGAGTAAAATGTATGTGTGTCTCCTTCAGCACTTTCAAGGCCTTTTGATGTTTCTAGTATTGTCTTATTTTTGCCCTTTATTATAATAAAACTGGCAGAACATGGCAATATCCAAGAACATGATTTGAGCTGGATGAGTAGTTGCTATTTATGAGCTGTCTGGATCAAATAGTTTGTGCAGAAGATGCTCTGAGGCTGGGAAAGAGGAATTAGTGTAATCCTTTAGGTTGTGACCACTCTATTCCCGTGTTTTCTCACAACAGCTGTTTAAAAGGAGGGAATTATATGTATGATAAGGAGCTGAATTGTGCACATTGTGCTAGAGACGAGTGCTACTTTTCTTACCTGAGAACTCTTGCTTTCCACCTTTCTCCCAGTAAGTGAATGAAAGACATTTAGAGTGCAGTGTTGCACCTCTTGTTTTACAGATGGCTTCTCCAGGATGTGAAAAATCTTAATTTCATCTTTAGCTTTTATTTAGTTTGTGACTATCTTTCCTGCTTTATTCTGTTGTCACAACTTCTTCTCTGTAAAGTAGATAATTTTTGATCTTTCATCACATGCTTACAGGCCAAAAGCATGGGCAAGTAGTCTTTGAGCCCTGTAGAAATATCTGACCCAAAAGCTCTCTGCCTTTCCATGTTTGTGCTGTTTTTCTGGATCAGGTAGCTGTGTTGTGCAGCACACACATAGTAGCTCTCTGATGCACTCTAATACGAAGTCAGCCAGCAGCTTGTCTGGCTCTTGGTGTGTATGTAATGACAGGGACAGCCTGAAATAAATGAAAGCATCTGTTGGGAGGGGATGGTGGAAAATCTGGGTTGGGGAGCTAAATAAGAAATGCCTTGGTGGTCTTAAGCTGTGCTCCTAGCAAGGAATCAGGGTAGAAAAGAGTCATCAGGAGAAAAGCATGGGGGGAATTCTGCTTCAGCTCTGCTGCTGCCTTCAGTCATAAGTGCAGTAATGTAGGATGGAGTCAGAGAAGCATTTCCTTCCTAAAATTGAGGTACATCACCTGCCCCTTCAGCATAACAGTAAAGAAAGAAATAGACTATCTGTCTTTTGTCTACTTTCTCACCTCCCACCCCCCCAAAAAAAAGGGGTGGGAGGGGTGTGTCTGTCCATGTTTACACAGCTTGACAATTTGGGGTTTGCAACTTCGCTGCAGCCAGACCTACTAAAGCAGACAGCTGGACTGATGCAGGTACCAGACCCTCGGTTAGAGCCCTGGTCAGCTTTAGGGCCGCTTTGCGCATCAAGATTATATGCAAGGTGATTCCTGTTGTGGAGAGTAAAAGCAGTGAAGTTTCTTGTCTGAAGAGGGTGGGATCAAATC